GCTAACAGCAATTTGGACAAGCAAGCCTGGCTTTCCAGTTTATTGACTGCCAGTCTGCCCAGCCATTGGCTTTGTCAATATCTTTTGGGGTCCTCACTGGATCTGCCTAGTGGAATTTCTGTTAACACTTTAGTTCCCTCTTGGTGTACTTAATTTCAAATACCAGGATTTCCCCAGAGTCCCAACCTGAGAGTAGGCCATTGTGACATAGTGTGTTGGGATGTTGGATAGAGAGGCAGGGGACTTGGGTTCAAATCCTACCTTGGCCGCTTACTACCTTGTGACCTTGGATAAGTCACTAAACCTCTATGGGTTTTAGTTCCTTCATCTAAGAGTGATTGGTTCAGATGATCTCTAAGGTCTTTCCAGGTCTATGATCCAGGGGTACTGAGTGGGTACCAGCATATGGAATCATTTCTCTTACCTCTGCCTGGCTAAATGATCTTTTAGAGATAGTCCACTTCTGGCTAGGGGAAGGTAGTGAGATGTGTTTAGGAAAGCAAATCCCATAGAATAGGGGCAAAACAGTTCAGCCTCTATTTAGGAGAGCTGTAATCATAAATGTCAATTGCCTGGTGAGTTTTATTTGAAGGACTTCAGGCCTGAGGGAAATTCATTAACCAACCACCGTGCATTTACTTACTCTCCCGGCTATGTGCTTGGCCCAGACACATGGGAAATATCAACACACACTAGGTTACGGGGTTCTGATGGATTTGGTATCAGAGGATTTATTATTCAGTTGTTTCAGTCATGTCTGACTCTTCATGACCCCATTTGGGGTTTTCTTGGTAAAGATACTTGGAGTGGTTTGCCATTTCCTACCCCAGCTCATTTTACATGTGAGAAACTGAGGTAAACAGGGTTAAATGACTTACCCAGGGTCACATAGCTAGTGTCTAAGGCTGGATTTGAACTCAGGTCTTCCTGACTCCAGGCCTGGCACTCCATCCACTTCACTACCTAGCTGCCTTTGCTTTTGCCATTCACTAGCTGTGTGACCTTGGACAAGTCATATAACTGCTGGGGTTCTCTGTTTCTTCGTCTATAATATGAAGGCATTGGACTCAATGATTTCTAAGATCCCATCCAGCTTTAAATCTGTGATCTCATGAACATAAAGGGCTGGAACAGTCAGAGAGGTCCACCTGGAGACATGGCAGAATATGGAGAATGTATGAGATGGCATCTCTGCGCCTCCCCTGTTCAGAGCCCATCTAGAGTACCTGTCCAGTTGTGACATCTTATAGGATGATACGGGCTGGAGGACATGAGAGGGACACAAGGCAGGATAGGGAGGAAAGTAGAGAGCTCATGAAGGAGGGTCTCTTATAAGAACTGGGGGTGTTTAGTTTGGAGAAGAGGAGCCTTGGGAAGCTGCAATAGTCCTCAGGTGTTTGAAGGGTTGATGTACTGAACGGGGGCTGCACTTGCTCTGCTCAGTCCCAAAGAGCTGATCTAAGAGCATCGAGTAGAAGTGGCAAGTCTGCTAGAGGGTGGCCTGGGCTGCCTTGGGAAGTAGTGGGCTCCCCATCCCTGGGGATGCTCTAAGAGAGGTTTCTGTACAGATATGAGCACATTGGACAGTTCTTTTCTGACCTGAGAGATTGTGTGATTAAGGAGCTTGAGCTGGTCCTTGGAGGACATGCAGGCAGAGAGGATTCCAGAAGCTATTCCAAGCAGAGCAATATAGCATTCTATGTATTGGGAAAAAGCCAAGGATGACACGTGGGTTGGGGGAGGGGAGGAGACGTTGGACATTGAGACCATCAGTGAAGATAGTTTGTCTAAATGTTCATTTTCTGAACCACGTTGCATTGCTCCTTCCCCAATTCTTCTGTGTTCAGGGTGGAGGTGGGGTTGTGTCTGTGCCAATTGCTTTATCAGGTGACTTCTAGTTACTGCCTGGAAGGGGTGAGGACATCGGCACTGAGGATGGCAGAGAGAAACATGTGCTGCTGAGTGGGCATCTCAGGCTATTACAAACACACATACCCTCCTGGGCTCAGCTGGCCAGGTCAAAGGGAGCTTTGTTGGGCTTCTTCCAGTTTACCTGGCATGCTGACTCATGTGAAATCCCCTGGGGCAAGGGCTCTGATACAGATCCAGGAACGCTTTCTGGAGGGAGGCAAGGCATTGGAGGTGAGAGCTTGGCCTGTGGCCTTGTACCTCCAGAGACAATGCCAACTCTCAGGTGATGGTAACTGGAAAAGGGTTTGTCATCTGGTGTGATGGCCACAAGAGTTGAATTCGAATTCACCAAATCAATTCACATCAAATCACTTGCTTTATAACTCACGGCATGAACTCATGGCAAGTAATTATACTTCTGCGGGCCTTGGTTCACCTATTTTGGAAATGAGGCTGACAACCCCTGTCTTAGGTGCCCCAGAGAAACCCAAGGAGCTTCGAAGGTAGCGGGATGAAAATCAACTCTCAGTTAACCATATGTGGTGGACCCAGCCCAATGTCTGGCACCCAGCCCTCTTGCATGGTCATTACCAGCTTCCTCTTACTATTAGCCAGTTAACTTTCAGGGAAGCTTAGCCTATTTTAGTCCCTTTTCCCACAATAGCTCAGTGCAGCTTGGGGTCAAATAGAATTGATTTTTTTTAATATTTCCCAGTTACTTATCCCTGCCTAACTCTGAAGTCAGTCAGAGGTGGCCAGTAATAGGCAGAGGCTAGTTGGAGATAAGGGAGAATTCATGGTCCTTGTCCTTGGGAGCTCCTAGCATGGTTGGGGAGCCAAGGATCACACACAGGAGACAGACTGGAAGTAATATGTCACCAAGTTCAGAATGAGATCTTCAGCTCAGGATGCTGAAAGAATTCATCAAGAAGGAAGGCTTAGAATGAGGGGCTAATCCAGGGGAGATGGTGATGTGGTAATGATGGGGGGGCAGGTTGGTAGCTAGGGGAAGCAGGGAGAGGAGAGACATTCCAGACATGGGGAAAGATCCTGCAGGAGGGGTACTGCCTTCCACCAGATTCTTCTCCCTACAGGTCAGGGATGTAGCTTCTAGGGTCTCTCACTGGGCTCCCTGACGTGACCACCATGAGAAAATTCCAAGACTTTGGCTGAGTAACTACGGTCCGAGCACTCACCTCTGTTTTCTGCCACCCTCCCCCCAATCCCTCTGTGTGTCTGATTGTCTGTCATCCTCTAGGTTACTGGAAGACCTTGGCTTTGCTCTACTACCCAGCCCTCTACTACCCTCTGATTGCATGCGCCACGGTCCGACACCAAGCCGGATACATCCTGGGCTGCCTACTCTCCTGGGCCCACTGCGGGGTCCAAATATGGCATAAAGTGGAGTGCCCTGAGACAGCCAAGGTAAAGTCCTGCTTCATCTGGGTGCTGCCCTAGCGGAGAGCATGCTGACTCATGGGGAAATGGAAGTCCAGCCTGCTCTGGGAAAGGCCACACTTGGAGGGCTTGCTTCACCTGGAGTCAAGAAGCCTGGGGTTCAAATCCTGCCCCTGCTCCTACTCCTCCTCACCCTTATTTATCTCAGGCAGGTCATGAGCTTTGGGTTCTTCAGTTACAAAAAGAGGGGGCTGGGCTAGATGGTCCCTAAGATTTTTGGAGGAATCTGGGGGCTTAGTGGGTAGAACGCTGGGCCTGGAGTAAGACTCAGGTTCAAATCCAGCCTCATACCCTTCTAGCTGTATAACCCTGAACAAGTCACGTAACCTCTGTTTGCCTCAGTTTCTTCAACTAAAAATGAAGATATTAATAGCACCTACTTCATAGGGCTGTTGTAAGGATCAAATGAGATCACATATTAAAAAAAAAAAGCACGTAGTAGAAGCTTTGTAAATGTCCCTTCCCCCTTAAGGCCCTAAGTCTATGATCCCATGGCTCTTGGAGAATAAATAATCCCTCTAGTGCCACACAGGCCTGCCACCAACTAATCGTGTGACACTGCACAAGCCACTTCTCTGTCTCTGAGCCTCAGTTCCCTGCTCTCTAAAATGGGATGATACTGTTTGTGTGATCCACCTCATGGGATTGTTATGAGGAGAATGTGGGGCAAATCTTTTTAAAGCTCTATAGAAATGAGAGGTGCAATGCAGTGGAGCTTTGGGGCTGGGGGCTCTGGGCTGGGGGCCCTGAGACAGTGGCTCCTTTTAGCACAGTGTTGATTCCTCTCTGTGTTGTGGAGGAGATGATGGAGGAGGAAGAGAAGGAGAATGAAAAGGAGGAAGGGAAGGAGGAGAGGAGTAGGGAGGAGAAAGAGGAGGAGAGGATGGAGGAGAAGGAGGTGGGGGGGGAAGGAATAAGGGGGAAGGGGGAAGTGAAGGAAGACATGTATTCTTGCCCTTAGGGAGCTCCCTCTCCGGTTGGGGAGTCTAGAATCACACATGGAGGACTGAGAGGCACACCTGAGTGCTGGGGCACATGTTTCAGACCCCAAGGGTCGTGCTCATTCAGAGAAGGGGGACATTATTGTGAACAGGAGAAGTCAGGGAAGGCTCCTTGGAGGAGGAAGGACTTGAGCAGGCCCTTGAAAGATAGGGAGGCCTAGGAGAGGGAAGGGAAGGGATTCCACATGGGTGTGGGGTGAAGTGGGGTGAACAACATGCATGAAGCAACCAGCAGGGATGAAGCTGGCATGAGCCCCAGACAGTGAAGAGACCAGCTCAGCTAGAGCAGATGGAGGGTCCATGTGGGAGAGAAGCGTGATGATAGGTTGGGGGGGCAGGGGGCTGGCTACAGCTTGAGGAGGACTTGGAACAAGACTGGACTAAGTCCAGGCTTTATCCTGTAAACAGTGAGGAGGCATTGGAGCTTCTGAAGATGTGTAAAAGTCAGCAGGAACACACTATTTAAAAAATCAATTTATTCCTCTCTTCTTCTGATTACTCAGTGGTTTTCTTTTGTTTTTAATTGAAAAAAAAATACCGTGTTTGACCTACAGAGAATCATGATATGTATATGTGTGTGTATATATATATATATATATATATATATATATATATATATATATATAGGGTGTCCCAAAAGTCTTAGCCCCATTTTAAGCTTTAATGACCCTTAAATAGCACTTAGCACAGTGCCTGGCACATAGTAGGTGCTTGGTAAGTATTTATTGATAGGGTGATTTAAATATCTTTAATAACTTTAAAATGCACAAGATTTTTGGGACACTGTACATGCACACATATATCACGGTCATAATTCACATTTATATAGCACAAGTTACTCTCATTTCCATTTTCCAGATGATTAGACCTAGCCTCAGAGGTCTAAGTGAATTGCTCAGAATCACACAGCTCAAAGTATCAGAGCCAGGCTTCAGACCCAGATTGCATCCTGAGTTCTCTGCATTGCATTACGGCTGCATGTCTGCAGGTCCCTCCCGAGCCGCCCTCACTCCCCCCCCGCCCCCAAAGCTCGCGGAGGCCAATTGGAGACCTCAGGGAGGGGTGCAGGTCTAGGAGGGAGGGAGCGGGGCTGCTGGAGGGCGGCTCAGGGAGCTGTTGGTCTGTCCAGTTCTACAGGTACTACCCCCTGCTGGCCTCCTTGCCCCTCCTCTCTGGCCTTGTGCTTCTGAGCCTTTGGTACCCTGCGCAGCTGCTGCGATGCTGGAGTGGGAAGACGGCCCCGGCTGGCCCAGAGGTAACGTGGGGGCTGCTCATGCTGCCTCCGTGGCATTGTGGGCAGCTTTGGGAGATGGGGGCAGAGGTGGGAACAGCGGAGATGATAATCATGAGTCACGTTTCTATGACAGATTTACATGTCCCCCCAACACCCTGCGAGGGACGATGTGGGATCATCCCGGCTTTATGGGGATGGGAAAACTGTGGATTCCAAAGGTTAAGTGACAGCCCCTCTGGCTGCCAGATCAGTGAACTTCCCATGATGACCAATAAATTTAGTAGGCAAGCATTTATTAAGCGCCTACTGGATACAGCCAGGCCCTTTTCCTGACAACCAACCAGAAAGTCAGCAAATGTTTAGTAATAATAGCTACCATGTATATAGTGCTTACTATGTACCTAAGTGCTTTACAAATATTATTTCATTTGATCCTCACAACAACCCTGGAAGGGAGGTGCTATTATTACCTCCATTTTACAGATGAGGAAACTGAGGCTAACAGGTTAAGTGACTTGGCCAGGGTCACTTAGCTAATAAGTATCTGAGGCTGGATTTGAACTCAGGGCTTTCTGACTCCAGGCTCAGCACTCTAACCACTAAGCTACCTTGCTGCCTTTTAAGCACTTGCTGTGTAGAGCCAGGCTCTGTGCTGGACACTGGAAATGCGAAGACAAGCATGAGGTAGTCACTGCTTCTAACGGTCTTACTAAGAGGAATTCTTGGGACCTTTCCTTCACTTGGAGGTTTTCAACTACAATCACCCCTCTGCTCTAACACCTTTCCAGGATTGCCCATTATCTACAAGACAACACCAAGATTCAAGCATTCAAGGCCCTCCCTAATCTAACCCTTTGTGAGCTTTCCTGGCATTCAAGGCCCTCCCTAAACTAAGCTTTCCTGGCATTCAAGGCCCTCCCCAATCTAACCCTTTGTGAGCTTTCCAGCCTCCCATCTCACTCTTCTACCCTAACTAGACTCCTGTTATTCTTTGGCAAGTCCCAAGCCCCCACCCCCCACCTCTGTGCCTCTGTTTGCACCGATCCTCCTGCCTAGAATATAATCCCTCTTTGTCTCCCCCCAAGCCAACATTGCCACCTGACCAAATTCTTCTTGCTATTTAAAGCCCAGCCTTCAATGCCCAGCTCAAACACCACCTCCTCCATGAGGCCCTCCCTGATCCTCCAGCCTCCCTCCTCTCTGCTCCTAGAACACTGTACCTCTCTCAAGCAAGGAGGTACAAATGTCATGGTCTGCCTCCTATGAGAGATGAGAGTTAACATCACATATCTTATCTTACTTCTTCCCTGTAAAGGAAACCTGGCTCCCCCTTCTCCAGGATGCTGCATCATTATGCTAATACCTGACATTCACACACCTCTTGAAGGCTTACAAAGCACTTTACAGACGTTATCTCATTTCATCCTCACAGCAACCCAGATGAGGAAACTGAGGCACAGAAATGTTAAGAGACTTACCAAGCAAATGTCTGAGGTAGGATTTGAACTCAGGTCTTCTTGATCCTTTCTACTAGGCCAACCTAGCTTTCTCACTCTCATCGCCTTTGGATCATAGAATCATAAGGGCTGTAGAGTTCAGAACTGGAAGGTGACTTAGTTGCCATCTAAGTGAAGGGACATTTTATAGATGAGGAAACTGAGGCCCAAAGAAATCAGAACACTTGCTCAAAGTCACACAGGTAGCAAGTCAGGGAGGTGAGAGTTTTATTCAGGTCTCTTGACTTTGTGGGGCAGCTAGGTGGCACCGGGTCTGGAGTCAGAAAGACTCATCTTCCTGAGTTCAAATCTGACCTCAGACACATAGTATCTGTGTGACTCTGGGCAAGTCACTTAACCCTGTTGCCTCAGTTTCCTCATCTGTAAAATGAGCTGGAGAAGGACATAGCAAACTAATTACTCCAGTATCTTTGCCAAGGAAACCCCAAATGAAGTCATGGAGAGTCAGACACGACTGAAACTTTTGGACCACAACTTGCCCAGGTCACCCAGCTAGTAAGTGTTTAAGGCCAGATTTGAACTCACAAAGATGAGTCTTCCTGTTTCCAAGCCAGGCGTTCTATCCAGTGCACCACTTACCCGTAGGTAGGATGAGCCCACTTGAGTAATACTGATTCACTTCTCTCTCTTTAACGATTGACATCTAGGCAGCTTTTCAAGTTCTATGATCTAGATTGCTTAACCTTTCTGACACCCAGTTTCTTGTTGCTGAGCCGTTTCCCCACACCCAGTTTCTATCCCAAGGCCTGGCCCTTGGGTCCCTTGTCTGCCTGAGCTTCACTCCCTGACCTGGGACCTCTCATCCCTGGGTAACTCCCAGCATCCTATTTCTCTGCTCCTGCTACTGAGCTGCTGCAGAAAGTCCCATAATGGGCTGATTTCATTCATGACACATTCATGATACCGACCTCAGCTGGGCCTTCCCGCTGTTCCCTAATCCTTCCATTCTGCCCTTATCGATCACCTCTCTTGCTCCCTGCAGACACAATTCCAAATGCTTTTCTTCTCTCCTCCCCACCCCCACACTCAGAGGGGAGGACCACACTTCCCCTTTTCCTCCTCAAACCCAGGATCAAGGTTACCCAGCATGAGATCTCTCCGCCTCCTCTTCTCCCTCCCTTTAGTCCCAGATAGAAGGGTCCCCATTCTTCACCCTGTATTCTATTCTCTCTCTTTCCCTCCAAGAACTTGCCATACTCAGCATCCTTCCTTTCTCATTCATCTTCAATCTCTCCCTTCCCAATGGTTCTTTTACATCTGTTCACAATCATTCAGGCCTCCCTACTCCTTAAAAAAATCCTTCCCTTGATCCTTCCCCCATGCAACTACAATCTCATCCCCCTCTTGCCCGCCACTGTTACATTTCTTGAAAAGGCTGTTTATAGTAGATGTCTCCCCTCTCTCACTCTCCATTTTCCCTTCACACTCTTGTAATTATGCTTTAGCCCTAATTGCTGCCTTCAAGCTCCCTAATTACCCAATCACTAAATCCAATGGATTTTTTCTTTTTCCTCATCAGCAGCCTTTGAAACTTTGGACTGCCCTTGAATGCTAGTCTTCTGAGACATCACATGTTCTTGGCTCTCCAACCTGACTGATCCTTCTAGGTCTCCTCAGCTGACTTCTCACTCTCATTCCATTCTCTTAACATAAGCATACCCTAAGGTCAGTCCTTGGCCACCTGGCCTTCTCTCACAATCTCTTCTATTTACAATGGCATCAATGACTACCTTTATGCGTTTCCATGCCTGTATCCTCAGCCCTGGCCTTTCTCCTGAGCTGCAGACCCACATCTCCATCTGGATGATGTCCTGGTATCTCAAACCTGACATGCCTAAAACAGCTTATCTTCCCCCTAAACCTACTTCTACTGCCTAGAGGCAGCCGGTGGTACAGTAGATAGCCCACTGGGCCTGTGAGTTTGAATCCGGCCTCAGATGCTTAGTAACCATATGGCCCTGGGTAAGTCACTTACCCTCTGTCTGCCTCAGTTTACTCTAAAATGGGGATAATGATAGCACCTACCTCTCAGGGTTACTGTGAGGACCAAATAAGATCATATTTGTAAAAAACACTTAGCATAGGGTCTGGTGCATAGTAGGTGCCATGTAAATGCTTATTCTCTTCTTCTTCCTTTTAATGACCATCTTTGGCGCTGCTGTTCATCTAGTCTCCATGGGAGTATCTTTGACTCTTCTTTCTGCCTCATGTTTCATGTGTCCTAAGTTGCTGGGTCCTATCAATTCCCCATCTGCAATAATTCCAGCATTTTCTATCTCCTCTGTCACCACTCCAGTGCAGGACTTCATGGACCCCTCCTTGGACTGTTGGGATACTCCTCTTTTAGGATTTTCTGCCCCTTCCAATCGATCATCCCTCCTTCCATTGCCAGAATAACCTCTCATAGCTCTAGTTGTGTTACTCCCCTGCTCAAAAGCCTTCTGTGGCTTCCCATGACCTACCATACGATCCACACACCTCTGCCTAGCATTCAAGACCCGTTATATTCTGGCACCACCTTATCTTTCCAGCTTTCTCTCATAGAATTTTTTTCTGTGTAATCTATACCTTGGCTAAACTAGATTCTTTTTTGCCCTCCAGACACATCCTGTGCTTTCCCTGGTCTGTCCTTTACTAGTGATGTAAAGTTGGGCAAGGATTTTGCTTTCTCTGTACCTCAGTTTCTTCATTTGTGAAAAAAAAAAAAGGAGGAGGGATTTTACGGTCACCCAATTCATGGCAGAGCCAAGACTAGACCCTGAATCCTGACTACCATCCCAGTAATCCTTTCTCTGTCGCATGAAGTGGATGACCACAATGACAACATTGTGACAGGGCTGTGCTCTACTTCAGTCCTCCTTCCGAGGAAAGGGGATGACCAGAGGTATCTGCTCAGTTTCATGTCTTTCAGGGAGAGGAAAAGTAACTTTACTAAGGACACACTCACAGCCTTCCTGGGATATTACTGAGATGGGAGACTCAGACATTTACTAGCTGTGTGACTTTGGGCAAGTCACTTTACCCTGTTTGCCTTGGTTTCCTCATCTGTAAAATGAGGTGGAGAAAGAAATGGCAAACCACTCCAATATCTTTGCCAAGAAAACCCCAAATGGGGTCATAGAGTTGGCCTTGGAAATTAGGTGACTAGAGTCCTGGACATGGAGCCAGGAAGGTCTGAGCTGAAATGTTGCCTCAGACACTTACTAGTGACCCTGGACAAAATGATTGAACTCTTAACCTCAGTTTCTTCATCTGTAAAATGGGGATAATAACAGCACCTGTCACACAGAGTTGCTTTAAGGATAAGGTTAAGACTGCTGGACTTTCAAACTATTTTCCAATTTGGATTCCCTTTCCCCATATTTGCAAAGGGCTTTGCAAACCATAAAGCACTCTGTAAATGCTAGCTGTTACTATTATTATTACTATTGTTGTTGCTGCTGTTTTTGTTGTTATTATTACTACCCCCTCTCAGCCTCAGTTTCTCTTCCATAAAATGAAAGG